CAAAAATTATTAGTTTATCACCCCCTCCTTCATCATTTTTGGGAAAATCCTGTTTTTTTTTTGTTGTTTTTTTTTGTAATGAACATATTTTTATTTCAAACGATCATCTTTCCACCTTTTTTGACTAGAAAAGCTCAGGATTTCTTGCATTTATTTGTATTGGTACAACAAAAACATATTTTTTTAAATATAAATTTGATTTCATTCTTATGACGTTTTATAAATTTGTCCTTTGGGCCTAACCATTCATTTACCAGCAAACATCGGTAAGAACCTCCCTCCCTCATCAGTTTTTATTCTTTGGCAGTGTGATAAACTAATATTTATTTTATGGGGCCTAATAGTGTTTTAAACATTATGATTTATACTTTACTATAATTAGACTGACTTTTTTGTGTTTTCTTTTTTCCCCTACAATTATAAAATGTATAGAAAATGTTATATTGCTGCACAGTACTACTGTACAGGGTTTGATTATAATACGGCATATATCCGAAATGTATGGTAAGTGTTTGTGGTATGTGCAGTAGTATTCGTGTAACTATTGTAACTATCAAACTTATAAATTTTTGAAAATGAAAAGCAATAGAAACAAGAAATGACACATATATATTCACCACATATAACTATAAATAAACTATTTATTGAACTTCCAACAGGGACCCCCCTGCAATTATAAAATGTATAGAAAATGTTATATTGCTGCACAGTACTACTGTACAGGGTTTGATTATAATTAGGCCTATTTACGGCATATATCCGAAATGTATGGTCAGTGTTTATGGTACAGTATGTGCAGTAGTATTCGTGTAACCATGGAGAAAATAAAATAGATCTCCATGGTGTAACTATTGTACCATGGAGAAAATAAAATAGATTTTATTTTATTTTCTCCATGATTGTACTATCAGACTTATAAACTGTTGGAAATTAAACGCAATAGAAACAAGAAATGAAGCATATCAATCAAACAACTTCCAAAGTAGGAAGATCTTCATTTAAACAATGTTTTTCAAGCAGCCGGCTGTATCTACATTTTTCGTTCACATCATTTACTAACTGTTTTTTTGAGATAGGTATACCTGTGTTCCTGAATTGCAAAAACACTTGACTCATGATTGCTTTAACTTTTCTTTCATCAAGTGGGTCTTTGCCCTGTCTACCACCAATATTACTACGGCTTAGCTCATGTCTTTCAAACAAACAGTCCAGTAATGACTTAATTACTGTCATTGGCCTCTGGTTTACCTTTAGAACTTCTATGTACTTTTCTCTTGGCATTGTCACCGGTACCACGGTACAGTCTCTCCCACCAACAATGACGAAGCCACTGCTGTCAAGTTCCATTTTCGGTTGAATAGGCCCATTGCTGATTGGTACATTTTCCATGTTGCTATGGTCTGTGTCTGGATGGTCGGCATTTTGATTTTTTTTATTTGCTCTGATAACTGTCAGCAGTTCTGTCAATATGACGTTGGTGCGCCGTTGCTCATTTCTTGTTATTTCCACTTCCAACAAAAGTTTCTTATACGACTCTTGCCAGCTGCAATTACAGCATTTTCGGCCTGTTGAAAAAAATATGTAGAGTATATTTGGTTTACCGGTACCATTGCATTTCATATCCTGAACTTTAAACAACGACGGTTTAAAAAGCGGAACATGACTTGTAAAAGCAGGACGATTCCATATATGTTTTCACTTTAAAATTTAAAATTTATTTTACTTTGTTAATCTTACGACTATACAAGAAATAAATGTGGCTGGATTCTTTTGTTCTCTAGCTTGTGATGCTATGTGTTTAATTGATATATGTAAATAAGGTTTCAGGCCTATTCGGTAGTTGTTTATATTTTACACTGTTCAGTGATTATGAACTGAGCATGAGCAGTAAGCATTCGCTCGGCTTTAACAGTGTTCGGTTGATATTTGCATACCAAAAGCATGCTCTCCTTGTATAGTTGTCTCAGTTTTAACTTTTAACTTTTAATTTTGAATTATGAAGTCAGTAATGATAATAATAATAATAATTTAAAAAAAAAAACTATTAATATCAGACAAACATGAAATTTGAATTCACAATTTTTTTTAAAACAACGGTTTAAAAACGGGACAAAATCCTGGCGCCGCCACTGAATCGATCTCGAGAAGCACATCTCGAAATTAAGCCTCCCTCTATTTATACAGATAGCATATGGCGACCAGGCTTATTAATCTAGACAGTAAAGGATATTAATACCGGATAAAGCGACAGTTCAAATTCGCGCATTTGTCATCATTTTGCTTATAGCATGCCTCATTGTTGCAAAGGATGACTTGATTTACTTACCAGCATGAACATGTTCTACCTCATCTTCATTGTAATGACTTGGCACAGACACTTCTGAAAAGCAAATTAAAATAAAAAAATTAATACCGAACTAACGCACAGTTTAAATTCGCACATTTTTACCATACCGTTAAACCAGTGTGAGTGTGCCCATCCAGAGGTCCCAATTCAAAAAGTGCAATGACCTGATTTAACACTTACCAGAATGTACATGACCCACTTCCTCTTCATTATTATGACTTGGCAGAGACACTTCTAAAAAAATAAAGTTAAAAACGGTATTAATACCGGATAAAGCGACAGTTCAAATTCGCGCATTTGTCATCATTTTAATAATAGCATGCCTCATTGTTGCAAAGGATGACTTGATTTAATACTTACCAGCATGAAGTCGTTCTACCTCATCTTCATTACTATGGATTGACACAGACAATTCTGAAAATCAAATAAAAATTAAAAATTAATACCAGACAAACGCAGACAATTGCGCATTTTTACCATACTAAAATCCTGGAATATTTTAACAGAGTAACACTTTTAATTTTAACAGAGTAACACTTTTTAATACCAGCATGAGGATTGTATGTTTTTATTTTTATTATTATTATTATTATTATTGTTATTATTATTATTATTATTATTAT